TTACACATTAGTAGGACTGAGGGACAAATCCAGAATTTAAGATGTGCTGTGTCAACTCTAGTTAAGTATAGAAACAAAGGCCCCAATGTATATAAATTTATAATAATTTATTAGGCCTCAGACCCAAAGACACAGGGCCTTTACTTCTAGAACAAGACGCACGACATGCCTGGTCACTATGGCCTACAGCCCAATGATATCAGAAAAGGAAATTTTCTTTAAAGACCCTCCTGCCTTGGACTGGAACATGCTTTAAATTAAGAATTTATCTTTTGTAAAAACTTTTGAAAGTTTCTTACATGATTGAGGCCCCTGAGGAAACAGTAGCCATCTGAAAAAGACAGGAAGACATTTTGCAATTCCAGAGTAGCTTCTAAGAAAAAGTCCCATGCCTGTAATCCCAGCACTTGGAAGGCTGAGGCAGGAGGACTGCTGAAAGTTGGGGGCTAGCCTGGGGTACATAGTGAATTCAAGGCCAGCCTGAACTACAAAGCAAGACTCTGTTTCAAAAAACCAAAAAAGAAAAAAAGGGAAACAATTTCCATAAGCATCATAAATATCCTAGTTGCCTGAACCCCAGGAGTAACTCTTGTGTGCATAACAAGATATACAACCTTGTACTGGGTAAAGATGTCTTTATGGCATTGCCCACCTTCTCTCTGGAAGGTGTCACTCTCTCTCTATCTACTAAACAATAAATTCTACCTATACTTCTGCATGTTGCCTATGGTCTTGACTGAATTCTTTCATCAAAGCCACCAAGAACCCAGAAAGTTCAGGAGTGTGTGTTCCTCAGAGCACCAGGTCCCAGCTCCTTGGTGACACTGAGCCCTCCTTAAAGAAGTACTACAAGCTGAGTGGCTCAAAATAACAGAATGTCTTCTCTCACAGCTCTGGAAGCCACAAGTCTGAAGTCTGGGTATAAGCTCTAAGGACACCTAGTCACACTCTTCCCCCAGCGGGGCTGTCCCTTGTGGGAATCTCTGTGATCTCTACCTCTGTCCTCATGGGACCTTCTCCTGTGCCTTCTCTACATGCATGTCTGTGTCTCTTGTCCTCTTCTTATAAGGGTCATATTGGATCAGGGACCACCCTAATGACTTCATCTTGAGTATTTCTACAAAGACTCAGTTCCCAAGTAAAGTCATGTTTATGGGTGAGGGTAGGGTTAGGACTTAACACATCTCTTTGGGAAACACAATTCAACTCACCTTAGAAGCCTTGAGTGAGACACCATATCAAAGCTGGAGGGGGATGGACAGAAATGAAGACTCCTGGTGCTGGGAAGGGTGAGGTGGGGCCAGCAGGAACAGGGCACCCCAGGAGCAGGGGCTTCTGCTGGAAGAGCTCTTGTACCTCCACCTTGATGTGTTAAAGACTTGGTTTTGGAGATACATCATTCAGAAAAGCCAAAATATATAAGAAAAAAATTTGTTTCATGTTACTTTATTCTACAAGTGATTTAAAAATTTACATTTGCCCCTGGAACAGTGAAGTAGCTTTGACATGACAGTAAACAGCTGACTTTTTAGAAGCCACTGAGAACTAGCTTTTTTCTGTTGAGCCTGTTTTGTTCAATGGTTTCTGCACATAGTGTGTGCGTGCGTGTGTGTGTGTGTGCGCGCGCGCGCGCGCCTGCAAAGGGGTCCATGTAAAAAGACATAAGAAGGAGGAGGGGAGACAGTAGCCACACAGGGTGATGTTGCCCCTAGGGGTGAGAGATCTGGAGGGAGCTGGGGACAGGGTAGAGTTTAGAGAATGTGGAACAGGCTCTGTGTAGTGTCTGGAGGGAGAGGAGGAGCCTATGGAACCAGCAGTCAGAGGTCACCTGGTCCCTACTAGTGAAAGTTGTTTTCAGTGCCAGAGACATAGGAACCTTCCCTGAAGTTATGATGAATTCCTAGGACCTTAGGGAGCCCCTCCCTCTGCTCCCCTGGGAAAACCAAACCACTCTCCACTCACTTATTGATCCCTGGGATATCTGTAACCAGAGACAAGTCTTCTGTTTCATAGAGCAGAGCACCCACAATCCACATCCACATGGCTTGAGCAGCATCCTGGGCTCTCAGGGCGGGAGAGGGGGGTTTGCAAGGTCTGGTAGAGTAGAGCAGTGGCCTGGAGCAGGAGGAGGCATCAGGATCCTAAGCACAGGGACAAGCTGGGCTCAGCAGTGTTGACAGAAGGCTGGAGGAAGTAGATTTATCCCTTTGTCTTGACAAAGGACAGAGCCCTAGGCAGGGGATTAGGTCAGCCTGGGGGCAGGGGACGTTTTGGTCAATGGGGGACTGTGATTTATGTAATAGGCTTGTGTAATGTCATTATGTAATATCATTAGGGGCAATGCAAATTGGATTCTATCTCAGGCTCTGCAGAAGCCAGACGGGGCTTCCCCACAGCCCTGCAAGACAGCTCCCTCAGGTTCAGAGCCCCCTTCTTTCTTGAGGTTTCCCATCTTGAGGTTTGATGGAGGGCTTTCAGGAACACTCACCCTGACCTTAGACATCACTCCTGTGGCCTTCAGCATCAAAGAGATATTTCTGGGAAGTATTCAAAGTGTGCTTCAAGAGTCTTAATTAGAATTGGTCTTGGCTACAAATCATTCTTTTTGAAACAGCAACATAGGAAGTAAAGGCCATCAAATAAGTAGTGTAGAAGCTGGCTGCTTTTATGGCCTCTCTGAGACATTGTTACAATGTAATCATGATTAGGTTTCACTTTTCCAGTCTTGGTTAACATTGTTTCAAAGCCTAACTCCCTTGGAGCATGCTGCTCAGTGTCTGAAAGTACCTTGAACATAAAAGGGCTGAGGACCTCTGAGGACCGAGGGGCTTAAAATTTGTGGCTATAAAACTGGGCAGACATTGGTTTATGTCCTGTAGCCACCAGGTTCATTAATATGTGATTCCAACAAGGCCTTCCTCCAAGTTCCTTGAAGCTGAGTCACTTTACCTGGCTGCTGTGATAATTAAGCTCCAAGAGTGTATTGTGCCTTGCCAAGCACAGAGGAGGGATCTAAGAATGTGATATTGTGGGCAATTTTGTCTTCTATGTTCTGCCTTTCCACTTTTCCTGTTACAATGTATTCCTTTTTCTATCAGAATGAAGATAAATATATTAAAACAAGATGCAGCTGGCATATGTAGGTGCATTCATTGTTTATTTTTGTGCAAAAATCTTGAGTTTAGTGACATAAAGGTTAGTGTCTGTAGGATGGGGGTCCAGGGATGGCTTAGGGGGATCTTCTCCCATCAGGGGTCAGCCAAGCTGTGTTCTCCACTGCAGGTGTGTCTGGGGAACAATCTGCCCTGCACTACCTTGAACTGCCAGAATTCATTTCCTTGTGGATGCAACACGGAGGAAATTTAGCTTTTTAGTAGCTCTGTCAGAGGCCAGCTTCGAACCATGGAGGTCACTGAGGTTCTCTGCCATGTGGGCTTTGCAATGTGGTGCTTACTTTGTCAGGCCTGCAGGAAGCCTCTGCTAGCACATCAGAACCTTTTATACTGGGACATGATGACAGCACCTCCCACTTGTTACATCCCATTGGTTAGAAGCCAAGTCACAGTCTTGCTCATACTTGAGAGTGTGACTGATACACATGGTGAAGATCAGGGGCTTGCGAGCATCCTCAGAGCCTGTCCTCCATGATGGTGAAACATGACTGGGATAAATGACGGAGTCCTGGACTCAATACTTTCTAAATCTAAAGTAGAGATCCTCAGGGGCTGGGACCCGGATGTACAGGGGCCCTATGTAAGGCAGTGGATGTGTACAGTGGACAGAGCTTGCACACAGAGTGTAGTAAGGGTCACCTGCCCGGGTGCCCTTGCCCCACCACCCCTGGTGCCCGAGAGATGTGTGTGTGTGTAGTGAAGTGGATAAGGGCAGGTCCACACAGCTAGCCTAACACAGAAACAGGGGATGGATCATAACCAGCTTTTTTGTTCATCTTTAGCACTCAGTGTTGCTAAGCAGAACAGAGGAAAAGCCTCTTCCATGAGGGTTCTATAACATTCTCTGGAACAGAGCTCTCAGCCAAGGTGGGAAGGCCCAAAGTAAGAACCATGGTACTGAGAGAACAAAGAAATGAGACTAAAGAGCAGCTGGAAGGGTTTTGCAGGGAAAGGGTTTTGCAGAGGCTTGTGTCCAGTTTGGAGGATGCCACTCCCAGGAGGAACTTGGGAAAGAGGCCACACAGGGTGGGTTCCCACAACCTCCACCAATCTAGACAGCGCTGTTGACAAAACCCTCACTAGGCTGTCTCTGTTCACAGGAAGCAGTGATGTGAACACAGCCTCCCTCCCAGAGGAGATTGGTTTTAATTGAGTGTCAGATGTAATCAAGTTTGGGGGGGTGGGGTGGCCAAGTAAATGAAGCACCTTGGAGGCCTCAGGCCCAGAGAGGAAAGTTGGCTTCCTGGGAGGACAGGCCCTGAAGGGGGTGGGTGCACAGAGATCAGCCCCATGAAATCCTGGGAATCCTGCTGGGGGTGCAGACTGTGGGGACCCAGCTAGGAAGTTCATCTTGGGAGTCAGCACAGGAGGATTGATGACACTGGGCCAAAGGAGTTCTAAGACACTGCACAAGTTGACAATTATGCTTAAACATCACAAGTCCTCAAAGTAATCTCCTTCCTGGGGCCCCCGGAGATGTTGATGAACTTGCTTTCATAAGGGACCACAGGTTCTAGCTGACCCCACAGCCCCTCCCTGCTAGGGAATGTGCCTGCTCCAGGGCTTACCAGTGGCATCTTCAGATTTTTAGTAGGTGAAATAATTATTTGCTTAGCTAGCTCACCCTTGTTATTTAGATTCAATTTATTAAACATGTACTACCCACTGCTGTAGCAGCTGGAGAGCAGGACTGGACAAAGAAACCATAAATCTTCAGAGATCTTACCTTTTATAGGGAACACAAAGAATAAGCAAAAGAAATAAATAAAGAGTAGTTTGTATGCTAATGCTACTACTGCCAAGGAAAGTAAAGTGGGATGAAGGGATATGGATGGATTATGGTGGTCACTGCAGTTTTAATAGTGGTCAAAGGAGAAGATGATCTTTAAGTTCTAGGGTGATGTAAGTTTCAATGGCACTGATGAGTAAAAATACCAAAGGTTTTTACCGATGGGTTTCTGCATATTTTATATAAGATTTTAAAATGTACATTGTCCTTAGCAAAGAGTAAGGACATCAAGGAGTGGTTAAAAGGGATCTCATGGAGATTACAGGTTGCTTAAGCACCTTCAAATTTTGGCACTGCTACTTGGGCTCTGGAAAACTCATCAAGACTAATGTTCAAGGCAGTGAATGGGCAATACCCTGAGGCTTAGAGGATGCAGGTGATAGTCCCCTCAGAAGCAATGACATACCAGCTGAAGGCTGCACACCTGACACTTGACTCTGGTTTCTGAATCCTGTTCCCACCAAAACAGACCAAACCTCAAAGGAAAGTCTTTACTGTCCACATTCCTATCCGCATTATGGTCTTCTGGGCTCAGAACTTCCACTATCTTTCACTTATATCATTCTAGAGCTTCTGTGGCCTCCATCTCCAAACTTTTCCAAACTTCTCCCACAAGTCAGAACCAAAAGCTTCTGAACCACCTGGTCAGGTAGTCACATCAACAACCCCACTCCTGGTACCAGTTTTCTGTATTAGCTTTGTGTTGTTGGGACAAAATACCTGGCGTACACAACTTAAAGGAGATGAGTTTATTTTGGCTGGCAGTTTTATAAGTTTCAGTCCACAGTTGGATGGCTCCTGATGTAGAAACGTCATGGTGGAGGAAAGCTGCTGAGCTCATGGCAGTTAGGAAGCAGAGAAAGGGAGAGTGAGGAAGAGCCAGAGAGAGAAGAAGGGGCCAGAGACAAGATATACTCTTCAAAATTATGCTTGCAGTGTTCTAGTTCTTCCAACTGGGCCCCATCTCTTATAGACCGTTCAGTTATGAACTCAACAATGAACTAATTGCTAATTGGTTAACATCCTCAGTACACAAATCTTTAGGATGTACTGCACATTTAAGCCATAACACTTCCGGATGTGAAATAGTATGAAGGATTAGATAATCATCTGTGTAGTATTCTTGCTAAAAATGTTTAAACTGAATCCAATCACGAAGAAACAATTTGATAAATCCAGACAATAGGACACTGTACAAATGCTCTGACTTATTAAGAAATGTTAATGCTATGAACTAAAGGGATAGGAGATGGTTGCAGATTAAAAGTTCAAGAGATATGATGATCAAATGGAATGCATGATCCTTAGTTGGAACTCGAACAGAAAGAAATTATAAAGTGATTATTGGGACAATTGCGGAAATTTGAACATGAACTATGAAATATGCAGTGATATATACATATATGTAAAATTTCTCAGGAGTGTTAGTAGTAGTATGATTATTTATAAAATGATTGCTCCTAGGGTGTATGTGATTATGTATTGCTCCTAGGAAGGAGTGAAGTGTCATAAGGCCTGCAATAAATCTACAGGTAGCTCAGCAAATGAAAGATACCTATATATGAGGAAGAAAGGAAGGAGAGAAAGAGAGAAACTGGTCAACTATTAATTACTAATGAATTATAAGTAAAGTGTATCCATGTATATGGATATTTGTTGTACTATTATTTCACATTTTCTTTAGGTTTGAAAGAAAAAAATGATCAATTGTATCATTTGACATAATTTGTAGGATTAATACAGCTCTACAGTTAATGGGAAAATTCTTTTGGGGAGCAATTTGACTTTCCCTATCCAGATCCCTAACATGAACATAACTCAGTGAGCCTATTTCTGGGGATTTCAAATTAGTAAGCAAGCCATGGGCACAGAATTGTTCACTGTAAGCCAAATATCAAACAGTAAAAAGTTGTCTAAATTCAATACTGTGCCTCACACAGTGCACTGGTTGTCCAGTAATTAGAATTGTATATATGAAACACCATAGGGAGTACAAACACTTAGGCCAGGCTAAGCTAACTGGGGCAGCAGAGAGCAGCTGAGAATAAGGGAGCTGTGGTCAGACCTGAGGAGTTTTTGGTTTTGAGACTGGGTCTCACTGTGCATATGGGCCTTGAACTATGTAGCCCAGGGTGGCCTTGAACTCTCAGCAATCCTTCTGCCTGAGCCTCCTAAGTGCTGGGATTAAAGGAGTGAGCCACCACACCTGGCATCAGACCTGGATTTTAACCTTGTGTTCTACTTCTTGGATGTGCAACTTGGGACAAGTTGCTGAACTGCTCAGATGTTCAGGTTCTGAACCTGTTAAGTGGACGTAGTAAATTTTACTACATGAGGAGTCAACACCTTCAAGGTCCTTCCCACCGTTTCCTAGACACAGTGAGTGGTTAATAAACATGAGCCATCATTGTTGTTGGTGTTATCACTTCTGACTGTGGGGTGGAGGTGGGAAACACGTTGGGCTTTGACAAATGAAATTTGGTAATGGAGAGAGAATATTTCCGGCAGGAAAATAGCAAAGAAGATGGGCTCGAGTATGCAGGAGGAGTCTGGAGCAGTTCAGACTGACAAGAGCCCCAGCTCTGCAGGAGAACCCAGTGAGCCATGAGTTTGTTGGACCAAGCGGCAGACAGTGGGTGGGAGGCTCTGCATGTACCCCAGGTATGGGCTTGACTCTGTGGCCAATGGGGAGGATCTGAAGGACACGGCCCTGTCCCTACCTTTTAGCAAGGTGGCTGAAAGTCAGGCTACACTCCAGGAAGAGGGACCTGGCAATACTAATGCAGGTATGTGTCTCACACCCGATGACATACACAGGATGACTTCATTCACAGGACAGTGGAGTGTTTGAACCAAGCGGTCCTTGTGAAGCGACAGGAGGGAGGACTTCGTGGCTTCTCAGTTTTCCTCTCAGCCCTTTTCCACAGCCAGTTATACCTTTGATTTGTAGTTTCTTCCCTTTCCTGCAGATGGCTCAGAGGTGCTGGAACAGCGTCCCTTCTTCTGCCAGCTCTTTCCCTCTGAAATGGGGTTGGGCACTGACCTTCCAGTGCACCAAGCCCCTTCATGAGGGAACACTGAATCACAGGGAGTCACAGGAAGTAAACTGTGGTCCCTGTTCTCCCCTATTCCAGCCTCCCTTCCATCAGAGCCCTCTGGGTGGACTGGTGACACTGGGACATAGGGAGCCCCCTCACCTCTGAAGCAGGACCTTCGCACTTTGCTGCCTCATGGGGAACCAGGACTTGGGCTGGCAGTGGAACCCCAATGTGAGCTGTGTGGGGAGGAGGGAAGGTCCACCACACCCAGGTCAGCCAGTAGTGGCCTGTACTTTGGCCACTTCCCAGGATGGCAGCAGGCAGACCTGGAGCCTTCTCTGTCACCCTACTCCCCACCCCCCACCCCCACCAGGCTCCTGGAACTCCACTGAGTTCATAAACGTCCTCCAGTTCCTCCCATCAAGTGGCTGCATTTCCTCTCCAGGCCTCTCCTGGACAGGAGCTGGAGTTGGACATGGTACCAAGGACCTCAACTGCATATAGATTTTGCACCAAAGATTCTAGAAGGCTTTTCAGTGAACAGCTGTGGCAGCCACAGGACCTGGAGATCTACTTCCTGCTCACAACTCAGAGCTTTTTGGCATGCATTTTATTCACATTCCAGTCTTGAACTTCTGCTGAACATAGTTTATGGCCTGCCTGGCTCTGCACTGCCTAGACTGGGCTCAGTCCTGACTTTCACCTGTCACATGCAGGCACAGGAGGAAGTAGCTGTGCCAGAGGATGATGGGCCATGCCCAGCTCAGAGTTAGGCTGTCTCCCACCTCTGCTGAGCGAGAGTCAGGATGCAGAGCATGCCTGCTAACCTCTGTGTGCCAAATGGCTGTGTGCTGGCCACAGAGCAAAGCTACCTTGCCATGGCACACAGACATAATGTTGGGCCCTTCCCACTGCCCCACAGCTTCGCTTCTTAGCAGGGAGGGCAGAGGGAGGCAGGGAGGCTGAGGACAGAACCCTCTCCTCCTGGGGGCCCCTTCACCCTCCTCCCCAGGTGCCTCTCTTCCTCTCTCCCTCACCCTGCTTTTCCTACAGCACAAGCTGTCCCTGGCTGATCTGGAAGAGGTGAGGTGGCTGCTGAGCTCCTCAGGAGTGGGGAGCTGTGGCCTGCCCTGTTCTTTGCTATCTGCATGGGCGAGGGAAGCAGCTGCTTGTTTCCATCAACTTCCTGCTGATGTGATCTTTAGAATATTAATTTCTCAAGATTTCCTCTAGTCCTGAAGATGCCCCCTTTGTGAGTGACCCCTCTCCTCTCTGCTGCTCAGTCACCCATCAGGAAGCCAGGAGCAGGGGCTTTGCCCCCCACACCCCAGACAGGGCCACGTGCCCTTCCTTGTAAGGGACACCTAGGCGCAAATGTCTCCAGTGACACTGATGTTAAAGATGTGCAGGCAGCCATGAGGAGCTGCTTGTGGTCACAATGGACAGAAACCCACATCACCTGGGGCTTCCACATGAGTACTTCAGGTCCCCAGGGCTCTGACAGCAGAGCTTCCAGTGCAGCCTCCAGCAGCCAGCCTTCCCAGGTGCCATGGGTACAGGTACAGTTTCCAGAGTCCTGGATTAAATAAGAACTTCAGGTTGCACTGAGGCTCTGGGGAAGGAGAGGTGAGTGAACACATGCAACCAGCTCTAGGCATCAGCTGTTATGGTGACACAGGTCCCTTCCAGTCAACAGGCAGAGGTGGGTTTTCAAATATTTGGTCACACTGCCACCTCTGGACAAACCTGAGGTGACTGGTCCAGCCCCCTAATACATGACAAGATGACTATACCCCTCAACCTGAGTGTGACCTTCCTTGGAGAGAGGGTTGTTAGAGGTAATCAAGTTAAACAAGTCAATGAGGCAGCTCCCTAGCTAATACAACCGTGTTCTGACATAAAGGGGGCCCCAAGAGACATGTGTAGGGCTGTGGGAACATAGACACAGCCATCCATAGCCCTGGAGAGGCCAGGGACAGATAGCCACCTGCCACAGCCTGTGGAAGAACCAACCCTGGCAGCACCTTGACTTTGGGCTTCTGGTTTCAGTGGCCCAGTCTATGGTACTTGGGATACAGCTCTTTGCCAGGGAGCCGTGTGGGACCTGCCCCAGTCTTAGTGCACACTGTGACTTCACCTGAGGTGTGCTGGGGGCTCAATCTGCCAGCCATGCCCCTGTGCAGTCCCCACAAACCAAACCTTCTATAGGAGCCAAGGCCTTTCCTCAGCACCTAACGTCTTTAATTTTACAATCCACGTGAGTAAACCCAGCTTGACCGTGGGCAGAGTTCTCCTGAAATGTGATTGGGGCAGGCATTTACTCCAGGAAGGGTGGGTGGTCAGGAGGGGTGGTCCTGGTGCCTACCCTGCAGCTGGCTCTGTGCATGTGCAGTGTGCACATGTGTGCACATGCTACCCACCAGGGCACCCGAACAGGTCTGCTGTGGACAAAAGGAAGGTGCAACATCCGACTGAACCTGAGCCAAGAAAACCCGAGGTGTGGTCGAAGAACGCACCTGGTGTGGCTGCCAGAGCAGACACCGCTGGGGTCCCAATTCCAGCAGGGGGACCCATCTAGCACACACTGCATGCTCAGCAAGGCTGACCTGATGCACAGTCCAGTTAATGGGCCCCCCACCTTGGGTCCCTGTGCTCACCACCCCAGAGGTCCTCCCGGAGGGCTCCCCTTGGCTCCTTGGGCCGGGCTAGGATGCCGACTCGGGTGCCCCCAGCAGCCAGTGGCTCTGGGTCTGTGTTGGCTGTAGGAGAGGCCTGCGGTAGGGGTAAGGTGGCAGGCATGAAGGGGGGCAGTGGACCCTGGTGGCACCCTGGGTGTCCGAGGAGGGTATGTCCAGTCAGCATGGCAGGGCAGCTGGGTCCCAAGGGGGACTGCTGTGATGGGCTGTGGCTAGGCCTGGAAGGCTCTGTCAGGACAGCGCCTGCAGGCAGCCGAGGCACTGGGGAGACCCTAGCTCTGGACAGACCTTGAGGGTCACCAGCCCTGCAGCCTTCCACCTGGGCCCGCAGGATCTTTGGTCTGGGCCTGGTGGGGCCCTTCCGTCTCCAGGAGGGCAGGTGTCTATGACCAGGGCTGTGGGCCCAGCGAGGTCCTCTGGGAAGGGACCACGGCCAGGAAGCTGGGCCCTTTGGCCCAGGCCCCCGTGGGTACCTCCCCAGCTGGTCCACCTGTGTCCTCATGGTGGCCACTTCCTGAGCCAGCCCTGCCAGGGCTGCGGCAAGCTGGTCCAGCTTCTCTGTGAGGGCAGCACCGAGGCTGTGCAGCTCTTGTTGTAGGGGCCTCCCACAGGGGCATGGTGGCTGGGGGGAGGCGGCTGGCCATGCAGGTGAGATGGCTGCCGGAGGTGGAGAATTGCTGGGCAGCTTGGGTGGGTCCCCAGAGAGCACCCTCCCTTGGGTCCTGGCTGAAACCAGAGAAAGGACAAGGTTAGAGTTCATGGGCTGTAAGGACCTGCTCTCTCCCCCAGAGGCCTCTTGAATTGGTGTTCAGTCTCCTGATCCCCCTAAAGCCTGGCTTCTGGAATGTAAGGAAGGCTATTTCAGCTTATGAAGGTACATTATATATGATATGTATGTATTTGATAGCAAGGATCAAACTCAGGGCCTTGTGCATGGAAGGCAATCCTACTACTACACTACATCCCCAGCCCATGGCTTAAGGATACTGACACCCAGCCTGGTTACATCCAAAGTGGCTGCTGTCTGCTGTTCACACTGACAGGCAGGATCAACCAGACTGGGTTTCCATGGAGACCATGCTTTCCCAGAGACAGTGGCCTCTTACTTTCTAGGAAAAGAATCTGAGCTCTTTGTGGCACCCCTGGGACCCAATGTCTCCTAGAATACCTGCTCCTGCCCTAAGGGGTCACTGAGATGAGCCCAGAGCAGCATCTCTGACAGCACAAGGCCAAGAGTACCAGGGGTACAGGCCAGGGGTACAGCTGAGAACACCTGGGCCACTCAGAACCTAGTACTCTTGGTTACAAGCAAACCATGGGGCCGGCCCTCTTGCCTTTCCTCTCCCCATTCACAAGTTATGGATTCAGAGGACTTTAATCTGAAGTTACTTAAAAAAAAAGAATCCTTCAGCCCTAATTCCTGGGAGCTGGTGTCAACTGCAGGCAAGCCTCATGGGACACCATCAGCCAGCGCCCCTGCCAGTTTAATCTGCTCAGCCCAGGCTGGGTCAGGGGTCCTAGCTAGGGCCCTGCCCTTGTCTTTTTTTTTTTTTTTCTGGTATGGGGGATTGAATTTAGGACCTTGCACTTTTGAATCAGGCAGCGGCACCACTGAGCTAAATCCCCGGTCCACCACCTTCATTTTTTTGGCACCTCCTGGGCTGTGGACGGAGGACAGTGATGGGCAACGTTGGCCCTGGGACCTAACCCCATCTGTTCTGGTTCTCTAATCAAAGCAAGGGTCTGGTCTATGGCTTCCATCTGAGGAAGGGCAAGGTTTGGACACTCTGGGCATCCCAGGACTCTTAAACCCTGTCTCAAGAGCAGCCAGTCAGTGCCGGCATGGGACCCCCACCCCACCCTGCTTATCGAATCACGTGTGACCCAGTACAGCAAGGCGTGATCTAAAGCCGAAGTTCCCTGGAGGACATTGGTCAGGTCCCTTGACAGTGCCATGGTTCATTTACCTCTGTCCTCTAAAGTCCCCTCAACCCCCAATTGATTTGGGAATACCTCTCAATTTCTGCCCCTCAAAGGTGTTTTTCTGAAGTCCCCAGTAATCTCTGTCATAAAATGTTGCAGAGAAATGGACTTCCTGGCAAGACTTTTCCTCACTGTGACCTGAATAATGAACTTGGAGGGTTTCTCTATCTGAGCTGGGATCCAGGTTCTGGCCCATGCAGAACGCACAGAGAAGGCACCAGCTCACCTGCAACACTAGGTCTTCCATACCCAGGCTCCAGGTCCCTGGGGTCCTCAGTAGCCCTGGGCCTGGGCCTCTTCTTTGGTGGAGGGGCAGGCCAGGGCGGGCCAGCTGGTTCTGCAGAAAGAGCAAACAGTACTTGGGGAAGGAATATGTATTGTTTTGCAAGAGCTGCTCCGACATAGGGATGTTCTAATGTGGCCCCCCAAAATCAAACTTTCAGCTTTTAAACAATGATTAAATGAAATGCAAGGTGGAGCCCTGGCCGGTCAGGGAGCCCAGCCTGCCACGGTGTGTGTGAGTGAGAACTGTGGTGGCACCATCTGCAGGCGACTCAGAGTCCTCTGCAGCTCCGGCCTTAGCCATTGGGTTTGCTGGGAGAGGCACAGGTTGGGAGGATCTGATCTCTAGGTCCTGCCCCCAGGGAGAGTCCCACAAGGATGTGCCAATGACTGATCGTCCATGACCAGCTTGCTCCGCCCTTTTCCTCTGGGTCCCCAGGGCCCTAGGGAACACAGTACAGTCCGTTTCCCACAAGGCACAGGCCAAGGCCTGAGAATGGAGCCAGCCTCCCTGACTGTTTCCCTGCTACCTGCTCCTCCTCTGGCTGCGGCACTGCTGAGAAGGCCAGGCTGACAGGCACTCTCTGCCCCCTCTTCTCTCCTGAGTGACAGGGACCTGCCTCCCATCTCCTCTTCTGCTTTTCCTCCTGGGAGCAAACTAGGTCACAGCCAAGATGGAGAAGTAAAGTGGCCTAGGACAGAAGTTGGAATCTCCAGCCGAATTTTTTTCTTCTTTGCTGGGGACTGAACCCAGGGCCTTCACACTGAGCTCCCCCAAAATAATTTTTTATTTTGAGACAAGGTCTCACTAAGTCACTAAGTTGCCCAGGCTGGGGTTAAACTTGCAATCCTCTTGCCTCAGCCTCCCAGAGGGCTAGGATTACAGGCATAGCACCACCAAGCCCAGCTATTTCCAGCCTTCTTGATGGGACAACCTCAAAGACTTTCTCCTAGTAAGGAAATCTCACTTTTGATACTTCTTTTGTTGACTGCCAAGTTTTAAAAGTGTTACAATAATATTACATGATATTATATTAATATTGCATACACGCACATATTCACCTGTGTATTTTGTATGTGTATATACTAAGTCTATAGTATAGAGTGTGCAGTTATCATTAAAACAACTTGCCACAATTTTCTCTGTGTGGGCCATGCCCTCTGCCCAACAGCCTGCCTTCTTTGCTCAGCTTCCTTGCTGAGAACCAAAGCATCGGAAACAGAGAGGGCTCTGACCAGAGTCAGGTAGAGTGTTGGACAGTATGCACAGAACAATCTGGAGCCCTGGCCCTCTGGGGGACACAGGGCTGCCCACCTGGGGAGACCTCAGCTCACCTGCCCTGAGGCTGCTGCAGTCCTGGGGCTCTCTTCTTTCAGGGTCATCCCCAGGGATGCTGTCACTGCTGTCTATGGGGGACTCGCTGGGGCCAGGGGACAGAGGGACTGGATGCTTGTGGCTGGGAAGGTGGCCTCTCTCTGTGTCACAAGCAAGCAGGTGTCAGGGTGCTGAGTGGCACCCTGGGGAGCAGTTCACTGCCCCACCCAGCAGGCTCACCCTGGAGGGGTGGCTGCCAGAGCTCGGGCTCTGGCCTTGGGTCTTCTCCATCGGAGCTGCAGAGGCTGGAGCTGGAGCTGGGGCCCAGGCCAGGGCTGGGGCCCGCCAGGCAGGTGAAGCGCAAGGGCCTGGCTGGGAGGATCCCCCGCAGAGAGCTCTCCAGGCAGTGCAGTGGGGAGGGCCGGGCAACCACCCCTAGACAAACAACAGAGAGCAGCTGTCCCTCACCCATGGCAGATAGGAGGACTCTATGGCTTGGCCCACAGCCTACACAGGCTCTGGTAGGCCCCAAACAGCTCACTTGCTGGCCATGAGAGGTGCAGAAAAGGGAAGCCAGAGCCAAGTCCTGTTTCATCTGGAAAATCAGCCAGGAAACTTCTAGAAGCTGCTAGCAGTCAGGTTCTGGCCAGATCTCCTGGGTCTAACAAGCCAGGCGGGCCCTTCTCTATGGCAGGTCACTGTCCCTTCACACAGTGCCACATAGGGGCCATCAGTTTGGTGAGTGCCAGTTGGTCCCAATGTCATCCTCTCACCTTGTGCAAATCCCCTTGTGGGGGTCGTGCTGGGGAGCTATCTAGGGGCCCACAGAGGGCAGAGGGACCCCTCCCTGCAGCAGCATCTCCTCCTGAGAAACCCAACAGCTGACAGAACAATGGCCCTTCACCCCTCTCTGTCAGCATGTGTGTTACTTCATCTTCTTTCTTAGCACACCGAAGCTTCTGGCTGGCCCTGACTCCCGCACTCCAGGGACAGGACGTGAGACAGAGAAGGAACAGGAATACAGAGAGAAGGGAAACCTACTTTCTTCTCAACAGCTTTAACTGGATGTAAAATATGCCAGTAAATACTGAGAGCAGCTTACCATTACCATCTTGTGGCCACCTCCACAGTCCTGGCCTAGTGGCTCCCTGGTCTTTGAGCCCTTCCTGGTGGCAGGCAGGGACACAACTGGAGGGGACGTCCTGTGGGCCGGCCAGGCAGGGGCTCTGGGTGGGCACTTCTCTTCCTCCCTGTCCAAGGTGGGCTGGCTCACAGGCCTCACCTCTCAGTCCTGTTTCAAGGAAAAGCCAAGAGAACTGTCAGTCCCATGGGGCCTTGTGTTGTCATATAAGGACAGGGAGTTTCACCACAGTGGGGTTCTCAGGCATGGAGTGTCAGATGTGGGAATCTGCCCAGGTGCCTCTACACCATCTCCTCAGCTCAGGTAGGTCTGTCCTGCAGGCTGCTGGGGGCAGCAGTGCCCGGGCAACAGCGTGATGGCTGCCAGGCCCACTCTCAGGGACCTGCAGCAGCCACCAAGTTACCTTCCTTGTATGCCATCCAGTTTCTGGCCTCCGCTCTCCTCAGCCTCCTGTCTGCTGCAGAGAAGCAGGGCTGGGCAGGCTGCGGCCTGGGCCTGGAGATCTCCCTGAGGCAGTTCTCCAGGCCCTGGAGTGGGGAGCTCCCCGGCAGGCACCCTGTGAAGGTCAAACATTCTCAGTCTTGGCTGTGTGTGACTCAGGCTCAAACCCCAAGGGTCGCCTCTTCTGCCATGTGTTGTGACACTTCAGGGACTTGCACAAAGACCTGGCCCTAAATACTTGTCAGCCCTGGCTCTGGGGGTGGCCCTGCTTGAGCTACCCCAGAGGAAGCCTGGCGTGTGGGGGCCACCATGGTGAGGGATGACACCACCTGGTGGCCCTAATGATCAAATGTGGGTGAGGCTTCCTCTGCCTCTTGAAAGGAGGACAATTTGAGCTTCCTTGCTGCCAGGTATGACAGGCCATGGAAGGCCGGCTCTCAGGTGGTTTCAGCTAAGAACAAAGCAAATACACTACAAAAATCGTATTCCTAGTGACAGCTGGGCAGGCAACAGGAGCTGACACCCTGAGCAGAAGTCAGGAGGGAGAATGAACCAGAGCTGGAGGGGCCGGGTGGGAGCTACCACAGGACAGCGGCCGGGCTCGAGTCTCCTGCAAGTCCACTGGCAGAGGGGACTGAAAGAGAAGCACATCTCAGAATAATGCACCCCGTCACAAACAAAGAAGTGGTGCCAGGGGCCCAAGAAAATTAAGACGACATGGAGGAAGATGGCAAAGACAGTCAAGGTGAGGGCATGGATGCCACTGTCTGTTTGAGGAGACATGTCTAGAAGGTAGACAAACCCACAGCACGGCTGGCATGGGGACACAAAGGGGTGGAGGAGTGGAGGAAACCCCCATTTTTCCCACAGAACCTTTCACAGCTTTTGGACAGAACCATGTGATATGACCTATTAAAAACTAAACGTTAAAAGACAAGGCTGCTGTGTTTTAGGGGAGAAGCTCCCATCCAAGGGGCTCCACCCTGGTAGGACTCGGGCAGGGAGAAGGATCTAGGCTGGCTCTCAGGACCCTACTGGCCCAGCCCCTTCACCTAACAACAGATGTGATCAGGACACAGACACAAGCAGACAGACCACAGGTCCACCTGGGGGACAAGGTGGACCAGGAGTATTTGGATTATTCAGATGGGGAAAGGCCAAACGGGGGCGCTAGAGAGTCAGCACCCCCAAGGTCACCAATCCCAGGAATGACTCCCCTGTGGGTTCTAGGGAGGCACAGTCACCAAGTATCCTCCTGAAGGTGTCTCACAGGGACCTCATGACATTTTCCCTAGGGTGGAGGTCAGTCAGATGTGACAGGCATGTCTCTGGCTGGAAGAAGGATGCGTTTAATGCACAACAAGAGGGTTTTTTTGTACCGGGGATTGAACTTGGGACTTTGTGCTTATAAGGCAGGCACCAGAACCACTGAGCTAAGTCCCCGGCCCTGCACAGATTTTTTAAGAGCCCTCAGACACTGTCCTGACCCTGCTGAGCCAAGTCACTAGAACTGATCCTACCTCCCCCAAACCCTACCCCACCCGAAACAAGTCCCAAGTCTGCTTCTGCTTCAGTATTCCCAGATCTGCTTCTGGCACTGGCCACTGGGCCCGAAGATGGTGGTGAGCAAGAGCCTACTGCCAGTTCCCAGAGGGACTCCACCTGCGGGCCACCCCAGTTCACCTTTGCCAGGACGCTGGCCCTGGCTCCCCCCGGGGCTTCCAAAGTCCGTGACCCCGTCGGTGCTGCTGCCCGAGGAGAAGCTGGTGGGGGTCCCTCGGAGAGCTGAGGGCTTGGTGGGACCCAGAGGTCCACATGGCTCCCTGGTGGGATCTGTGGAGAGCAGCATGGTGACAGCAGAGCCTGTGGGGAAGAGGTCCCCGGAGAGATGGCACCAGGAGACCCTGCCCCAGAGGATCTGCCTCCAGGGTTTCCCATGGGGCTGAGGAAAATCCCGAGACCCCACGGCTTTTCTGGGGCCTATGGAGAAGAATTCAAGGAGGACGGGGCAGGGAGGCTGTGGGGAGCTGCTAGGGAGGTGCAGAGGCTGAGGGGAGGCAGGTAGGGCCCAGAGGGCTAGGAGGGGACGTGACGGTGTCCGCAGCGTCTTCTGCCACTGTGTGCGCAGGGACAAAGGCCACCCCGGCCCATGGCCACATCCACCTTCACCCTGTGATCCCTGGGGCCGAGGCTCAGGCCTCTGAGACCCAGCATCTCCGGGCTGGGGGGTCTGGGACCAAGAGGTGGCTGGTGGCCAGGGAGGTCACAAGGCACTGGTGGGAATGCCCTCCAGACAAGCCCCCAGGTCTTCCAGAGGTGAGCACAATGCCCTGCAGGCTGTGAAAGGGGAGAGCACCCTGGCATCTTCTCTCACAGGCCCCTAATCCTGCTGTCTGTTGAGGCGACAAGTCCTATTCCCGGCTCTAGGGACCGGCCAGGCAGGAAATGCCCCTGTGGGGGACTTGGGATCTGCGCTCTGCTCCTCCTGGGGGGATGAAGAGAGGCAGGTGCCCTGCTTGTGGGCTGTGGGCCCTGACCTGGGTCCCAAGGGAAACGGGGCAGACAAACCAGGCCTCACCTTGAGCTTCAGGGCCCCAGCCTGGCACACGGACCCCTCTGGTGTCTCTGGTGGCAAAGGGGCTGTGGCCCTGCCTGCTGAGTTGGCAGGATGCAGGAACCAGAGGGCTCTGGGCGCAACCGTCCTCCACCTTCAGCACAGTGAGGGTGCCACCAGCTCCAGGACTGGCAGGGTGAGGCGGGGTCTGGAGGCGTCTGGACCCTGTGGGAAGGTGGCGGCTGGGAGACCCAGGCTGCAGGCCAGGACTCCCCCTGGTCCTGTGAGGCTGCAGAGGGTCAGCAGGGGCTTCAAGAGCCCTCTGCTGCCCTGGCAGTCATGGCTCTGGGGACGGTCACTTCTCAATAAGCAGTGCAGATCCAAATTACAGCCCGTCCACCGAGGGGCCTGGGGGGCTCTGGAGAACTGGTAAAAGAGGTATGTAGTGTGCTGTCCCAGGTCAGCACCTTTCCCTTGGCTGGCATGCCTGGCCTACTCCACCCTGTGCAGGCTGTGTTCTGAGCTCACGTGTACAAAGGAGCAGGCAGGCATGGAAATGTGGACCCAGTCCATACACAGATGGGAACCCCGGATCCTAGTCACACCGCCCAGCCCGAACACACTGATGGGAACCCTGAATCACAACTGGGGCCTGAGGGTGTGCTAAGCTACAACTTTACCTTGCATTACCTGGTCTCTCTCCCTCCCCACTATCCCTTTCTTTCTTCTCAAATTTTCACCACTATAAGAGATGATCTGGAAAATTTCCAAGCACTGGTCAAGCACCTCCAATGTGCCTCACTCCAGGTACACAGTGATGATCCCTGCATGTGGCTCCTGCAACTGGCATACTCATGGGGGCCTGTGTGTCTCACTGTGGAAGGTCACCCAAGGCCCAGATGATGTGTCACATCTGGTGTTCTCCTAGCCCAGCCTTTACCTCCAGAATTCCTCTTCCAGGGCTCTGGATCCTCCTGCACCCGTGGGTGCCCTGCTCTTGAGGGGCTGGGTCGCCTGTCCTGGGTCTCCGGGATCTCCTTCAGACAGTTCAGCAGACCCTGGAGGGGACAGTGCCCCGAGGAGGCCTCGGTCTTCACTAAGGGAAAAAAGCACGGGTTTCTACCTGAGCCCAGCATCAGCCCTCCTAACTGATGACACACAAGGGACCATTCTGGTTACAGGAAGAAGGCTGCAGGGCCAGAAATCTGGAATACGGGTATCTCCGTGCCTTAGCCTTGTACAAGCCACTGTCACCTTGGTGCCTAGTGTCCATACACATCCCAAAAATGGGTGGATAAGAGGGGAGGGGAGGAGAATGCACTGAAAGGTAACTGTGGGGTTCCCCAGCGGGCACAATAAAGCCACCGAGACAGCTCCCTGGTCCTTAGCCATACTGCCCTCCTAGGACAGGTAGACTGACAGACACACAGACATACACATGTGTGAGGGGACTCTCAGGAGGACAGCTCCCCCTGCACAGATGCTGAAAACCAGATCTAAAGCTTTAGCGGCCTGTAAGCATGTCACTTGTGTCCCACTGCACTCCCCAGGCCTCCAAGTCCACTCTAAGCACCTCACCAAGGGACCATAGGAAGTAACAGGCAAGTGCCATTGTATTAGCAAGAGTAAAAGAGCACCGAGGAAACCAGGGCATGGTCTGCTACTGAGTTTTCTTTTTCTCTAGCCAAACGCTGTCCTTGAAGAGCTACCTGGCTACAGACACATGACAACTGGTCTATAGGAGGGGCCTGGGTGCTAAATCAAGGCAGATGGTGTGCAGCCAAGAAATAGTTACAGAATAGCAACACAAGCTTTCCAGGACTCACCTGGCCAGGGCAGGCTTCCTGGCCCCAAGTCCATTCTGGTCTGCCTCGATGTACCCAGGCTTGGGAGAGGAGGTACTGAGCCCAGGGCTGCGTCAGGGTGCTGGGGCCCAGGCACGAGGATTTCTGTCAGGCAGTTGATGAGGCCTTGCAAGGGGCTGGTCCCAGGAGAGACTCCTGCACATGCACACAAGGTCGCTGAGGTCAGTGTGGTCCAGACTGGCAGTGGGAGACTTCCAACAGCCCAGCCAGCTGACAGACAGGCCTTCCTGGCTCGGACAGAGAGTGAGCCAGCCTCCTCACAGGATCCACACACCTTCTCCTCCCAGTTGCAGCCCCCTCAGCTCCAGGTCGCCCCACTCTCAGGAAAGCCAGCTTCTCACCTGTCCCCACAGTGCCTCTCTCCTGTCTTTGGCGGCTCTTCCTCGGGCCAGGGCTCTCGGTGGGAGTGTTCAGCTCTGTATTTGGGGCTCCTGGGCCTTCCTTCCCTGTGGGCCATGATTTGTCCACAGTTTCTGTTGGAAAACACAAGGAATGCTCTAGACTCTCCTATCACCGCACGTCTGGTCCCCATGAGGACAGGTCTCTCGACCTCCCCGACTCCCTGAGGGGCAGCTAACTCTTGGAAACCTGGATTTGTGGGGCTCACTTTGGAGGACTTGTTCTAGGTGGGCTTTCCCCCTTTCCTTCCACTTTAACTGGAAATACTGAGCCTGGTATTCACTCTGAATAACCCTGGGCCCTTCCCCCTGCCCCCAGCCTTCAAACCTGGTTCAAGTGGTGCCTGCATCCTCAACACATAGGCCACAGTCCTATTTCTCAATTAGAGCATGTAGAACCCAGAGAAAATTGACCAGATGACACCTAAAACCACAGGCTAAGTGCAGTATGTTTTTTGGGAGTGCCAATTTTATTCTATACTACTCCCAACTATATTTAGTAAGGACAGATATTCAGGGATGGGGAGGTAACTCAGTGATAGAGCATGAGCCTAGCACCTGAGAGGCCCTGGGTTCAATCCCTAGCACCAAACAGAAAATAGCAACAAAAACAACAGCAATAACAAAAAACTCTCAGATATTCAGACAAATGCAAAATTTGCAAGAAGGTTAAAGATGAAATGAGACCCCAGAGAAATTCTACTGGCTACCCTTGCCTACTCTGCTCCTACCATTGCTTTGATCAAAGTTGAGAATCAGACCAGCTATGCACAGGGAAGCCACCTGCTGACCTGAGACTCCCTGGCCTGTGCACATGGTCCTCAGCGATCAGGGCTAAGTGAGAGGCCACCTGGGGACTGAGTATCATGCCTCCTCTTTGGTCTGCAGACCACAGGGTGATCACGTTGTCTCCCTCCCTGGGGATCTTGGTCCCATTTAGCAACAGAGGAAATGAAGAGGGAGAGGAAATGAAGAGGATGCCCTGATTCCATGCTGGTTGGCCCCATCCCTGCAAGGTTAAACTCACTGATGGGGAAGGGGCTTCCCTGGCCTCCATCTCCAGGTGGACCATTAAAGGATGAGCTGCTGGTAGGCGTGGTGGCAAGGCTGGGCCGGCTCACAGGGCTGTCCGGAAGGCAGCTGAGCAGGCCTCGGAGAGGGTAAGTGCCCACTGCCACAGCTGCTGTTGAGAGGAGGCAGGAGATGCCAACTGGTAAGATGCCCTGACACCATCACAATCCCGGTCCTTCCTTGGTGTGCTCATTTAACAATAACCAGGATGTCGGTGACCTTAGCACTGCCATAGCAGAGCTGTGAAATCTAGATTTACAGCCACAGTTGTGTCCCAGTGGAACAGGAAGCAGCAACTTTAAAGTCACATCCCAGCAACCCTGTGCCCTCCCTCTATCTTGGCCCTACTTTCTACTTTGTCCACCATCAGCTGAGTGGGTCTGGGGTGTGGGGAGGTCCCAGGCGAGATGGGACCTGAGCTGAGGCAGCAGAGATGGGAGAAGACAGACAGCTGGAGAGGCAGGGAGGACACAGGACTGGTGGGGGGTGACTGGGTCTCCACTGGCCACTGGGACAAGACACAGCTTCCCTCCCTAACTCATCTGTACAACCAGGGACAAACACACTGCTCACCTACCATGTGAGGCACAAGGTGACACAGTAGGGCCACCACAGGGAGGCTGGATGCACAAAGAATCCACTAGGAGCAAGGCCGAGCTGCTCTCATACCCACTGTGCCAGGAGCTCACAGGGTGGGTACACAGCCCAGCCACCGCCTTGCTGTGTGTGCATGGGAGCTGGTAAGTACACTGGAAACAGCGCTGTGAACTTCACCTTGACCTTGTGGAGTCCAGAGAGGTTCCAGAGGCTTCCCTCACTGTTGACCTACCTCCCAGGCTTGCTCTGTCCCCATCCAGGATGGCTGCCCCACTCTCAGGGCTATCCTCGGTGCCCTTGAGTTCCCCAAACAAGAATTCTGGAATCTCCTTCACCAGCTGAACCAGGGCGGTGAGGTGCAGGCTGTGCTGCGGCTGTCCTCCTGCAAAGGGCCAACATTAGCCCTGTGCTCCGCATCTGTTCAGCATACACACTTCTGTGCACGTCATCACTCCCAGCCCCTTAGGGAACCCTCACAACCACTGGAGGAGCAGCTGAGGTCAGACTGATGTCCAGACTGGCTCGGGCCAGGCGATCTGCCCAAGGGCACGGCCAGGACTGGGGGGAGTGTGTAACAGGGTTCTTTCTTTTCTTTTTCTTTTTGATTATTAGCACATATTTGCAAAACATAATATTTACATTCATCTTGGAGGTAGGTACTTGTACTTACCATATCTTAGTTCTTTTTATTCTCCTTCCCCTCCTCCCCCTCCCAGGTCCTCCTGTCTTTGGATCCCCTTCCCATTTGCAAAAGATTTATTATCTCCCTGTTTTGTTGCCTATCTTTTAAAAAATCAGTTATAATTTGAATTTCTCATATTCAAAAAGTTATGAGATATTTAAGGTTATGCCTTTTTCACTTAACATTTAAAGAACTAGAAACAACTATCCTAAGATTCATATAGACCCAGAAGACACCCAGTATAGCAAAAGCAATCCTGGAGGCAACAAAAAGAAAGCAGGAGGCACCAAAATTCCAGACTTCAGGTTATACTACAGAGCTACAATGATAAAAACAGCATGGTACAAGCACAAAAACAGACATGCAGATCGATGGAAACAGAATAGAGGATGCAGAAACAACTCCAGGCACTTTCAGCTATCTGATCCTTGACAAAAACAAATGCTGGAGGAAAGATAGCCTCTTTAGCAAATGGTGCTGGGAAAAGTGGGTACACACATACATACTATCTCTTACCATGCACCAAAATAAAATCAAGATGGATCAAAGGCATAGATATGAAGACAGAAACAATCTGCTGGAAGATGAAACAGGTAACACTCCTCTCTCCTTTCTTAAGGAGAACATCAAGGAGGGCCATTCCCACCCTCTGGGCCTCACCCAGCCCGGGCACATGGACCACATCAACATGTGAGGAGCTGGAGGCTGGCCCCAAAGTGGGGGCTGGAGTAAAGATTTTGTGGGGGATGACCCTAGGTTTCTTCTGAGCACTCTTCCATGAAACAGATAAGTGTAGACAGTGAATCGTGTTCCCAGCCCAGGAAGCGAGGGGGACAGTCAGGAGTGGGCAAGGCTGGCCTGAGCCCATAGGGATCACAGTGTCACCTGAGGGCTGCAGCCTGGGGCTGAGGACTCTGAGTGGGAGGGGTGCCCGAGTCTCCCAGCAAGACTCACCCTGGGGGCTTCTCCCCACAGGAGGCTCCTGCCCCTCCTCAGTGCAGCTCCCTGCCCCTGCTGCTCCTCTAGGCTCTGTGGGTGACAGGAAAGCAGAGAGGGGGAGCAGCTCGGCTGTCCCTAGGAAGACAAGAGGGGACACTCACCCTGGGAACAGAGTGGCCTCCCCTTGCCACAGTCACACAGTGGCCGTATGCCTGCAAGCCTGTTTCCATGCTTGCTTGTGTGGTCCCCTAGATTCAAAGGACCACAGAAGCCACTGTGCACCCCACAGAATTGCCCTCAGAACCCCATCACAGAACACAGAAACAGTGAGGGCATGGGAGCAAAGATGGGCACCAGACCAGCCCCAAGCTCTTGGAACACCCCAAAGCTGCGCATCTCCCAGATGAGAAGACCAAGGCCCAGTGGAGCCCGGGGGCCCATGCACTCAGGGGCCACAGTCCTTACCCACAGAGACCAGTGCCTCGTAGTTCTCCCGCATCACATCCCGGTAGAACTCCCGCTGCCCCTCCTCCAGGAGCCGCCACTCCTCTTCAGAGAACCGCACGGCCAAGTCTTTGAAGCTGATGGGCACCTGTGGATGGTCTCAGGCAGTTGGCTGGCTCCATGCCAGCAAGGCCTGGCCCAGCTGACCCCCAGCCCAGGGACCTGCCCGTGTCTCCCAGTGGAAGCTGAGAGCAGAAGCAAAGAGGCAGGGGTGGGGCCTAACACCAGGAGCATCAGGGACAGGGCTGAGCGCAGCACCAGTGGCCAGCTAGGTCCCCAGCAAGATATACGGAGCCCTAATTCCCACATCTGTGGACATGACCTGATTTGGATACAGGCTCACTGCAGACAAAACTAGTTAAGATGGAGTCACTTTAACTCAGAAGACTAGCGTCCTTACAAGAAGGGATGTGGAGATAAAAACATATCGGGAGGCCATGTGCAGATGGAGGCAGACATAAGCTAAGGAGCACGTGCAGTCACCATAAGCTGAAGAGGCAAGGAGGACCCTTCCCTGGAGCCTTCACAGGGAGCATAGCCCTGCTGACACCTTGATTTCAGGTTTCTGGCTTCTAGAACTAGTGAGAGAAGAAAGGCTTGTGGTCCTAAGTCATGGTGGTCCCAGAAAACTAATATGACAGTCGCATGCCCTGTAGCCCACCCAGCCCTAAATGTACCACATTAGATTCATTTGTATTCATAAGCATACTTCACTGTGAATGTGCAAGGACCCAGGCCCCTGGCACTACAACATTAAAAAAAGGAGTTTAAAAATATAACCAATTGCAAGGGCTACCAAGGTTGACCCAGATCAGACGGGTTCTGGATTTTCAATTCTGGAGTATTTGCATATACAAACGACATATCCTGGAGTTGGCACCCAAGTCTATAAATGAAATTTATTTGTTTCATATGCACCCCATACACATAACTGGAAGGTGATTTTAGACAGTATTTTGAGTGTATTTTAACTGTGACCTACCAGGTTTGGGATTCTCCATGCATGGTGTCATGGTGCTCAAAAGTTTTGGATTTTGGAGCATTTTAGATTTCATGTGTTTGGATTAGGGATGACCAACCTTGCTGAACACTATACCTTTTAGCAGACATGATACAACAGTCAGGATCAAACTCATAAAATGTTTACATTCCTCCTCTAAGTACCACTCAGAGTGGGGCATGAGGTGGGTGATAAAAACCTCATGTAACTTCACCTTCTTCCCTTGGGCTGGAAGCTGCGTCATTCTGTGCATTTCTTAGAGAAGTACTCTGAAAATCCAGCACCCCTGGAGAGCTTCACACTCTACACTCATCACTTCTATACTCATTCTGCTATCTTGTGGCTCTTTAGACAAAAGCAACATTTCTTTCTTACTTGAAAAAGTCATTCATGGACTTTAGGACAGCCATGAAACCCTAGAAAATGACCAGCGTCTGATAGGCATGAATTTAAAATTATGGAAAAATTAATCTCGTGCAAATGAAGCAAACAGAATATAAATGATTAGATTGGGTCTTCTGATTCAGAAACAAATATTAACCATTTATGAGAATTATTAAAGAAAATGAAGACACTCCTAATAAAGGAATGAAGATGATCTACTGACTTGTTTTGTCTACTCAAATCAGTGATTTTAAAAACTGTCACTGAGCTGGGCATGGTGGAACACTCCTGTAATCCCAGCATTCAGGAGGCTGAGGCAGAAGAATCTCCTCAAATTTGAGGCCAGCCTGGGGCTATACAGTGAGTTCAAGGCCAGCCAAACTACATAGTGAGACCTTGTCTCAAAAAACAAAAACAAAACAAAGCAAGAAAAATAACCTGTCACTGCTACTAACTGGTGGCCTTGTCACCTCCCACTGCCAACTGGGCCTGCCACCCCCAACAACTGAGAGCCAGCATCACACAGTCACAGCCCCAGCCCTCTGCTCTCTCTGAACCGGTAAACAGTGGGTTCCCTCCACAGATCTGGCTCTGGACAGCCTCTGGTGACTGCCTGCCTGTTGTCCAGCAGTCCAGAAGCCCAAAGGTGGTCAGAGGCTGTGGCCTTTGCCTCCCCAGCTTACTCTGAGACCCTGGCCACTTGTACAGCCCAGTGAGCAGCCCACAGCCTCTCCTCCTGAGCTAACTTGTGGCTCTGGCCCACCATAGTCACTCCTTCTCAGGAATATCTCAGACACCCTCCAAGATCTCTCTTAGAAAACAATTTACAGTTTTTCCTGGCCTTCTGGACCAGGGTCTGTGCCACAGAGCTAACGGGACAGGCCAGACGCTGCTGCCCTTAGAAAGACCATGGGCAGGCAGCCCCCCACAGGCATCTGGGAACATCAGAGAGGTCCCCACCATTCCCAGTGGCTGGACTGTGCTAAGGGTACTGTTTGGGCTAAACCCCTGCTTTCCTTCTGGGAGCATGGAATTTGCATGTGTCCTAGGCAGAGGGTGCCTATGTGACCAGCCCCAGTGACAATCCCGACTGCTGTCTCTAGTGAGCTTTCCCCAGTACACAACATGTCACATGGGTCGTCACAAACTTCATGTTGGAAGAACTATGTCCTGTGACTGCACTGGAGGAGGCCTCTGGGAAGCTGCTCCCCTCATGTGCCCAGACTGCACCCCATGCGCCATCTGCTGTTTGGTCTGTGTCTGCTGACTGTCTGCTCAGTCTGAGTCCTCCTGTGAGTCCCTGAGCCTTGGATGGTCTTGGGGACCCTGACAGAGGGCCCCATGACTCTTGGCCACCTCACTCCCATGCTGTTTGGGCAGAGCTGTGAGAACTAAGCCTTTGTTCTTTATAAATTACCCAGTCTCAGACATCCTGGTGTAACAGCACAAAACACAAGACAGGTGACCAAAGACTTAATCGGCCACCATATATTTCCTGTTTGTTAGCTCTAGTTTTCACTGTGAACAACTGGCTTATTCTGGGTCTCGGTCTATTTTCTGTTCCTACAACAGAATGCCCGAGACTGGTTGATTTATTCAGAAAAAAAAAATATATATATATATATATATTTTGGCAGTACCAGGGATTGAACTCAGGACCTTTCACTTTCGAGGCAGGCACAGCGCCACTGAGCTAAATTCCTGGCCCAAGAAAATAAATTTCTTACAGTCTTAGAGGCCGAAAAGTCAGTCCAACATTAAGGAGCCACAGCCGTGGAGGGCCTTCTTGTGCACCCTAACATGTGATATGGTGAGCCAAGGCAAGCCAGCTAGAGCTCACTTTTTATAGAAAGCCACTCCCTCCATAACTGATGAATCAATTAGTCCATCAATGGACTAATTCATTCATAAGGATAAAGTCTTCATGACCTAAATGCTTCCCAAGGTTTCTACCTCTCAAATAGCTTTAGCATACAACTTTGGAAGCAAGTTTCCAACATGTGAAATTTGGCAGCCACTCTCAAATCACAGCATTCTGATCTACCTGACTTTTGTGAGTTTGGGTAATGTAAATTGGTTCTCCCAGAAACCATAACCTAGGGGTGCACTGAACTTATCTGTTATGGGACTTCAGCCAAAGTACTTAACCACTTGGGCCTTACCAAAATCATCTGTGATATTGGGATCATAGCGAGCTACCTCCCAGGCATGACAAAGGGAGTTAATACAGGAAGAGTGCTGGGAATAAATGCTGGGATGTATACAGTGCCGTGACTGGTGTTACTGCAGCCAGATCAGTCTGCCTCTTATCTGCCTGCAGGGTACACCCTGGCTCCTTGGGCTCTTCCATTGCTACCTCCAAGGCCTTTTTATTTCCAGGCTAAAGAGATGTGGCTCTTTTAGACATTTGTAAGCAATGCTTTTCAGGCCTATTACCATCCTGGCCTCAAGATGAACTCTTTGGTGACCAACTTTTAATAAAATACAAATGGGAAATTGTGGTGGCCAGGATTGGTTTTTTTGTCAGAGGCTTCCCAGTGTCCAGATAAAGTGAAGAATGGTCTGTCTGCATGTGTGAGGGTGTGAATAAGTGAACGTGCAAATGTTCATCCGCAGGCGGCTCACCACCTGGACCCTCTACCCTTTTTGGACCCAACTTCTGCCTCCTCTCCCAACAGAGAAGCTTTAGGGGCTGATCTAGAACTGCCAGAACTGGGAAGGCCGCTCCAACATCCCTTCTATCAGGTCATGAAACCCATATGAAACCACAGGTTCAGTGCCCATTAGACCCATCCAGCTCTCACTGTCCTTACCAGTCTAGGCCATCCTCCTGGCTCACCTCGGGCTCCTAGATCACTCCCTGCATCATGCTGCCCCTGTATCCCCCCTTGCAGGCTGTGCTCATACACCCCTGGGCTTCTGGGAGTCACTCTGGGCAGGAAGATCGCAGGCCCTCTCTGTCCTTCTCCGTCTGGCTGTGTCCTTGCCTTCCCCAGGTCACTCTTAACCACCTTCCCCAAGAAGCTACAGTGTAAGGAAGCACCCTGAACATCAGTGGTCCAATCCCTCATTTCATAGGAGGCCCAGGATGGGGCCAGTGGCCATGTCTGAGCAAGGGTGTCCTTGGGCTACCTGTCAGCCAGCACTATAAAGGAGACTGCCCTTATCCTGGATCATGCCACTTTCCTGGCTCCTCCCCTCTTCTACGATGCTTGTGGAGCACATGTGATGGCAAGGTCCTGGCACAATGGGTGCTCTACCTGGCCACATTTCTGGCCACCATCCCAACACAGCTTCCTGAGTCTGGCCAAAGCTCCTGAGCCATCACAACTGTACAGCTGGCTCCAGGTACCCACTAGAAGACAATGCAGCAACTCTCCATTGGCATCTTCACAACCCATGGCCAAGCCCAAACTGTGCCCCAGTGATAGCCGTTGGAGCTCTCCCTACAACTCTCCCTTAGCAGGATAAAACTTGGAACCTGTTCTGTCTTCTTCGTCTCCCCACTCCAGGGGATCCAGGATCTTAACAAAAATAAAAGTATCAGACTTAGCCATTCCCCTGAGGCCCTCATAGCCATCACCATCACTCTCAGGATAATCCGTAACGGAAAGAGGCCACGCAGAGTGAAGGCAGCGCTTAAGCCTCTGAACAAGTTTCCTCAAACGGAGAGAAGCTAGAGATCCTGGGGGGCCGGGCAGTGGAGGAAGGGAGGAGGAGGACCCAGACTTCTCGAGTCGAAATTAGGGGCACCCCGCTGGCCCAAAGTTGACGGTCGCGGTCATCCCCGCCCCGCCTCCCCGGTCGCCCGCGCGTGCGCCCCGGCTCGCCTTACCTGGCGCGCCATCCCGGGCCCCAGCCTCGCGGCCGCCCCCTGACCCCCCCAGCTTCCGGCACGGCCCAGGGTGGAGGTTGCACCGCGACCCACTGTGGCTGACGCCCCACTCCGCAAGCGAGGAGGCGGGGCTGGGGGCCCGGGCTGGGGGGGAGGGGCGAGGGTGGGCGCACCAGGGCCCGCCCCCGGCATCTGGCCTCCCGGTGTGGGTGGACCCGCTTCCGCCCGGAATGCCTAGCTTCGGTAGTCCGGCCGGCGCAGGCGCGGACTACAC